GGTAACATCATTTATTTATTTTATTTTATTATTATTTTGTATTTTATGGTATTGTATTATGTTTATTTTATTATTTCATTTCTTCCCCTGTTTTTTCTTTTCTTGTTTATTTTTAATTTTTTTTTATATATATTTCTTTTTTTTTATTTGTATATATATATATATATTATTATTATTATTTTTTATTTTTTGGGGGAATTAATTTTTATTTTTTTAATTATTTAATGTATCTTATTTTTTATTTTATTTTTATTTTATCCTTATTACCTATCCATGATTAGACTGGCCAGGTTTCTGAATATCCAGTAGCAATAGTTAATGTGTAAACATGGATGACGTTAAATTCTATTTTCATAGTACATAAAGCTCTTTTATCTAAAAAGATCAAGGACAATTAGATTCCTCATGATATAAACCCTTTAAATGCTTCTTCACATACTCTTAGTTTAAACGTGCCAGTATCTGCTGATTGATTCCAGGAATTACTGAGGCACACCAAATGGGTTTATTCCAAATCCTGTCAGCCATTCTTCATCTGGGGAATGTGGAAGTGAAAGAGAGAGGATCGTCTAGTTGTGGCATCTCTGTAAGTCGCATTGAGAACGCAAGAATTAATGGATTCTTTAATACACATTTTCATTCATTGATTTCACACTTTGTTGTTTTCATTGTGTCCAGGATGAAAGCGGCCACCTGGCCATGTTTTGTGAACTCACTGAGGTGTCGTACGAGTCCATGGCTCACTGGTTGTGCCATAAAAAACTCAAGACCGCCACAGAAACCCTAAACAAGCCTGTTACCCAATTGGAGGCCATAAACGGCCGTGACGCTCTTGCAAAACACATTTACGCCAAGCTCTTCTCATGGATCGTCGGCCAGGTCAACAAGGCCCTGAGCACTTCCTCCAAACCGCACTCGTTCATTGGTGTCCTAGACATCTATGGGTGGGTGAGGTGCTATTATTTCATCTTCATTCTTTATTGATGTTAAAAATATAGTTGCAGGACAATTAGGTGAACTGTTGTGCCCAGGTTTGAGACATTCGAGATGAACAGCTTCGAGCAGTTCTGCATCAACTACGCCAACGAGAAGCTCCAGCAGCAGTTTAACATGGTCAGCATTTTCAAACATGTGTCAGCTGCTCCAGCATTCACAAAATTATCAGTCGTGTCCAAGCACATCACGACTCACTGAAAGCATTTACCCTCCAGCACGTGTTCAAACTGGAGCAGGAGGAGTACATGAAGGAGCAGATACCATGGACGCTCATCGATTTCTACGACAACCAGCCGTGCATCAACCTGATCGAGGCCAAGATGGGCTTGCTAGATCTTTTAGATGAAGAATGCACTGTAAAAAACATTATTAAACCATAAATGTTATATGATAAGCATCTTTTTTTGTGATAAACTCCTTGATTTGATGCTTTCAGATGCCAAAAGGTTCTGATGAATCATGGGCGCAAAAGCTGTACAACACTCACCTAAAGAAAAGCTCTCACTTTGAGAAGCCGCGCATGTCTAACAAAGCCTTCATCATACTGCACTTTGCAGATAAGGTACATGGAGGAAAAATATGCACTGGTAATACAGGAATTCCTAAGAGTCCATCCCATTTGATCTCTCGATTTCTGTTTTAGGTTGAATACCAGTGTGATGGATTTCTGGAGAAAAATAAAGACACAGTCAATGAAGAACAAATTAATGTGCTGAAGGCTAGTAAGGTGTGTTCATCTCAGCATAGCTCACTAACATTTTTCTGGCACAGAAATACAGCTTCATGTGCTCTACACAGTCGAAATGAGAACCAGGAACGTGTTCGAGCTTGCGAAATGTTATTCTCTACTCCCTCAGTGACTTAAAAATAGATGTATGATTCAACATGTCTTGAGATAAGTATCGCCACCTGTTGTTTGGTTCATGAACATCTTGGATTCTTAGAGAGGATTTTTGCTCTGGTGGGTTGGAACCCAAAACATGGATTGGTCATGGATTAGTGTTAAATGCAAGTTACCAGTTGAGAACCACTGGTCTAGAGTGTAATTGGCACAAGTAGCATATCGGTCCGTTATAAAGGCTCTCTTGTTTTCTCACAGTTTACCTTACTGGTTGAGCTCTTCCAGGATGAGGAAACACCTGCAGCTCTGAGCACCACAGCACCATCTGGTCGTGTAAAGTTTGGACGGTCCACCCAGTCTTTTAGGGAGCACAAGAAGTCAGTTGGACTGCAGGTTAGAGTTGACCAACAAAGCCAAGATCCATCTCTGTTATTCATTCTCCTCTGAACTGTTGATACAGAAAGGCTCTGAAAGTAAAACCCCATTTATTTCCATTAATGGATTATACTAATAACAATAAACCTTTTAAAGGGATAGTTCACCCAAAAAGGAAAATTCTGTCATTAATTACTTACCCGCATGTCGTTCCAAACCCGTAAGACTTTCGTTCATCTCCGGAACACAAATTAAGATATTTTTGATGAATTCCGAGAACACTCTGACCCTCACATAGACAGCAAGGATACTGGCACGATCAAGGTCCAAAAACATAGCAAGGAGATCGTTAAAATAGTCCATGTGACATCAGTGGTTCAACTGTAATGTTATAAAGCTACAAGAATACTTTTTGTGCACAAAGAAAACAAAAATAATGACTTTATTCAACAATTCGTCTCCTCCGCGTCACCCTATAGCGCCATTTTGGAGAGTATCACATATGCACCGTACGCGGATACGCTGTTTATGTTGTTGACGCTTTGATCTGAACGTAAACAACGTATCCGCTTACAAACGTTGCATACGTTGTCTACGTATGTGAAACTATCCAAAATAGCGCTATAGGGTGACGCAGAGGAGACGAATTGTTGAATAAAGTCGTTATGTTTTCTTTGTGCACAAAAAGTATTCTTGTAGCTTTATAACATTACATCCTTGCAACATTTCTGGACCTTGATCATGTTAGGATCCTTGCTGTTTATGCGAGGGTCAGAGATTCCATCAAAAATATCTTAATTTGTGTTCCAAAGATGAACAAAGGTCTTACGGGTTTGGAATGACATGAGGGTAAGTAATTAATGACAGAATTTTCATTTTTGGGTGAACTATCCCTTTAAGACAGACTGACTGTGAGCTCAGATGTTATATTAAAAATAACAAAATGGTTTAAATTAATAGTCAAATATATTAAAATGTTTGGGTGAGATTTAAAAAAAATAATACTTCTATTTAGCAAGAACGCATTAAATTGTTCTGAAGTGACAAAGACTTTTACATTGTTACAAAAAATATTTCACATAAATGCTGTTCTTATGAACTTTATATTCATGAAAGAATCCTGAAGAAATGCGTCACTACCTTTTTCTACCTTGATAATAAGAAATGTTTCTTGAGCACCAAATCAGCATATTAAATTACATTTTAAAAATATATTACAATAGAAACAAATATTTTTAATAATACAGTTTTTACAATATTACTGTTTTTACTGTATTTTTTGATCAAATAAACATGCACCCTTGTTGAGCATAAGAGACTAATTGACTTGAATCTTACTGGCTCCAAACTTTCTAAAGCATTGTTTTGTTTTGTTCTTAAAGTCGATGATAATAAATTTGTAGTTTTATTTTGTTTCATTGTATTTGATTCCATTATGTCATTAGCAATGCATTATGGGATTGTAGTTCATTGTCTCAGTTTTGACAGTCTTGTACCTTTGTCTTTTTCCCTAATTTTCATATACTATTCTTCTATAAATCATGGAGAACATGAATAGGGAAAAATGCTCCCATAACCAAGGCTGCTGAAAATGTGGGGAAAGTGGGCGATCGCTGTTGTGCTCTATTGAAACCGATATTATCCACCCAGATCTTTTCACAGAAAATCACAGTGTCATTTGTCTGATGCTTTTGTTCCTCCCGTTTAAAGTTCCGGAACTCTCTGCACCTGCTTATGGACACACTGAACGCCACCACCCCACACTATGTGCGCTGTGTCAAACCAAATGATGTTAAAGCCCCCTTCATGTCAGTAAGCTGATTTCAGATATAATCCACTATTATGTAATATGAGTCACTATAGTGTCTTCTCTTTCTGTCTGTAGGATGGACCCCCATCGAGCCGTTCAGCAGCTCAGAGCGTGTGGAGTCCTCGAGACCATTCGCATCTCAGCCACAGGCTTCCCTTCCAGGTGCTAATTCAATAACTCGCATGTCTTCTCAGTGTCCCTTCTGCTTGGAATCTGATTGGCTGCGACCAATTCAAGGGAACCAATCAGATGTGACTAACTCAAAAAGAACCAATCAAAAAAATTACAACAGAATGCTCATTAATCTTATTCAAGTTTAAAACTACTTTAGATCTGCACAAATGTAGTTCTGCTAATCCAGCTCTAAATGCCTTAACTGATTTGGAATCTGTTTGCGTTTTAATACATCTTTACCTCCCTCTGGTCAGGTGGACTTATCAAGAGTTCTTCAGCCGCTATCGTGTTCTAATGAGGCAGAAAGAAATCCTCTCAGACAGGAAGTTGACCTGCCAGAGTGTTCTAGAACGGCTTGTGCAGGTATCACACTTCTCTTTGTAAACATAAGCAGAAGTTTTTGTACTTTCTCTTTACAAAGAGCATGTATCCTGCAAAAAATAACTACCTAGGCTGGTTTAAAATAATCTAAGCTGGTTTAAGCTTATCTCTTTTTATTAAAGGGGTCCTATTATGCTCTTTTACAAAGTCTTGATTTTGTTTTGGGGGCGTACTAGAACATGCTCTCATGCTTGGTGGTTCGAAAAACGCATTATTTTTCACATAATTTACATTATTAAAATACCTTTCTCCCCATCCTGGCACAAACGGCTCGATTAGTTCCGGCTTTGATGAAGGTCTGCCTTCCGAAAAACAAAATGTGTTGTGATTGGTTAGCTGTCCCAGTGCGTTGTGATTGGCGAACAGCTTAGATGGTGTTTCAGTACTGCCCCGCCCCTTGCTCTGTCTTCCAACAAAAGCTTCGAACAGCTTAGATGGTGTTTCAGTACTGCCCCGCCCCTTGCTCTGCCTTCCAACAAAAGCTTCTTGGCGAATCCGGCAGGCACTGTACTCCCTCATGTTGTGGAAGCTGTCCTCAGTAAAATGCACAGCACACAATAGCAAATTGGGGTTATAATGCTCAGGAACAGAGTTAAATTGCAACGACTGTTTTCTGACATCATCTGCTTTCGGAAGCCCAAACAAAGACGTTTGAGCACGGAGGTGAAAAAAACAGCGTTTCAGGCGGTCGCGCGCCGGATGAGAAGCGCAGCGTCGAGTCGCGCCACATCTTTAAAATTCAAATACATTATTTTCTATGAGTGTAGGCACACCGGCGGTGCCGTTCGGCGTCTGTCCGCGGCGCCCAGCTATGTCATGTTATACTTGTAAGAATTGTTCTAGACATGCTGAAAATTTGAAGCTACAGCACAGCAGCTCTTCTTCTTGGTTTTCTCTGATGCACTAACTCTGCAGCAGCACTTCTTCTTCGTCGTCTCGTCTGATGCACTCACTCAACCAAGCGTTCCAACCACAACCTCGCCCCTCCCCACCCCCCAACCATTCGAATTACTGTAAGCGGGAATTATTTTTAATGATATTCTAATGGACCGCTTTGATATCACAAAGCCCGGAAAACAAACGCTGTAGTCCAAACGAGCCGTTCGTTGTAGTTCTTGAAAAGGGATTTTTAAAAAACAAAATATCTCCCTTTGGAGTGGACTTTGAGATTTGTAACTTTCTAGATCTTTTTTTATGCCCAAACATACACACTGACTAAAATTTAAAAAAGTGAAAAAGCATAATAGGACCCCTTTAAGTGCCCAAAACCCCTCTAAACCATGACCATGCTCAGACACCTACAAACCAGTTTAGGTTGGTTTAAGATTTTAAACAGTCTAATGTTACTTTGTCCCCCCTCTGCAGGACAAAGATAAATACCAGTTCGGAAAAACAAAGATCTTCTTCCGGGCTGGACAGGTGGCTTACCTGGAAAAACTGAGGGCAGACAAACTCCGTACGGCCTGCATCCACATCCAAAAAACTATCCGTTGCTGGCTCGCCCGCAAGAAATACCTGCGTATTCGCCAAGCAGCCATTACCTTGCAGAGATACGCGAGAGGACACCAGGCTCGATGGTGCGTCACACTCAAATGTTGTAGATTAACTGAATTACAATTAGTCTCAATTTACGTTTGATTCATGTCACAAAGTTATAGGTTGGAAACTAAACTAACAGTGTGTTTTATCTACCCTCGTTTAGCTTGTGCAAGACATTGAGAAGGACGCGGGCCGCAGTGATCTTCCAGAAGTACACACGCATGTGGGCAGCCAGACGACAGTTCCTGCGACAGAAAGCAGCAGCGGCTCTCATTCAGAGGTTAATGCGCGGCTATACAGCCAGACTGGAGTACAAACGGGTACGCAGACAAGTTTTTGTGGTGTAGCAAAGCAGTTAAATATAGGCTTGTAATCACAAATGTAAAAATATGCAAGAAGAAAAATGAATCAGGCTTTCAGGAATGAGTATCAGCTATTTCTTAGTACAGAGAAATGCTAGTTCTCATTCATTTAAAGTGGCAGTGAAATTATTTCAGAGCCCGCTGCAAATATATGAAAAGGGATATGATGTCATGCACCAGGAATTTTGTTTCATAATAAATAATAGTTTTAACATTTTGAATTTATTATCTACTGCAGTTTCCCTCTTAAAATTCTACAATTATATGTTTTATAATTTATACACTATTAATCAAAAGTAGAGTAAGATATATATATATATTTTTTTAAAGAAGTCTCTTTTGCTCACCGAGCCTGCATTTATTTGATCCAAAGTACAGCAAAAACAGTACAATTTTGAAATATTTTTACTATTTGAAATAACTGTTTTATAAATAAATGTAATTTATTCCTGTGATCAAAGCTGAATTTTCAGCATCATTACTCCAGTCTTCAGTGTCACATGATCCTTCAGAAATCATTCTAATATGCTAATTTGCTGCTCAAGAAACAATTTTTTTAATTAAAATGTCAATATTTAAAACAGTAGAGTACATTTTTTTTTCAGGATTCTTCAATGAATAGAAATATCCAAAGATCAGCATTTATCTGAAATAAAAAGATATTTAATATTATACACTATTCCATTCAAAAGCTTGGAGTCAGGATAATTTTTGTGAGGGGGGGGGGGGGATTATAGAAATTAATACTTTTGTTTAGCAAGGATGCTTTAAATTGATCAAAAGATGATAAAGACATTTATAATGTTACAAAAGATTTCTATTTCAGATAAATGTTGTTCTTTTGAACTTTCTATTAATCAAAAAACCTGAAAAAATTCTACTCGGCTGTTTTCATTGTAATAATAATAAAAAATGTTTTTTGAGCAGCAAATCACAATAGAATTAGAATTAGAATGACTAGTGAAGGATCATGTGACCTGGAGTAATGATGCTAAAATTCAGCTTTGAAATCACAGGAATAAATGGCATTTTAAAATATATTCAGTTAGAAAACAGTTATTTTAAAATATTTCAAGATATTACTGTTTTTGCTGTACTTTGGATCAAATAAATGCAGGCTTGGTGAGCAGAAGCAGAAGACGTCTTTAAAAAAACAATAAAAATCACTGTTTAAAAACTTTTGAATGGTAGTGTATATTATATATTATACTTTTATAATAATTTTTTTTGTAAATGAAGTTTTTAAATTAAATTAGAGTTTGATTTTCAGCCAAAGAGATCAGCTGTTTTCTAACATTTTTTGTTTTATGAAATTTCCAGCTCAAAATCTCACATGAAATAAATTGACCTTATTTAAAACTAGTACCATTCTAGTATATCTTCCCATGATTCCCAGTCAAATTCTCTCTACACTGTTTCAATCAGGAATGTTACATTATGGAAGTAACATGGGTTGCAAATGCTTTCATATTGGATTGGGGATGAAAGCAACTTTTATAGAGCTTGTCATCTTGTTTTCTTGTACAGTTGCTGTGTGAACACAAGGCTTTACTGATCCAGCGCTGGGTGCGTGGCTTCCTGGCCCGCTGGCGTTTCCGTCGCATAAAGCGGGCTGTGGTATATCTGCAGTGTTGCGTGCGCAGGATGCTGGCCCGTCGAGAGCTCAAGAAACTCAAGATTGAAGCCAGATCAGTCGAGCACTACAAGAAGCTCAACGTCGGCATGGAGAACAAGATCATGCAGCTGCAGAGGAAACTGGATGAGCAGGTATCCTTCGTCTCTTTTATCGTCATCTGTCTTGATATATGATGAGTAACCCATGTTTGAATTACAGAATGTTTGTATGTATCATTAGCATAAGGAGAACCGAGAGCTTTCCGAGCAAATTAGACAAATGGAGAGCCACAGTGCCACAGAGTTGGAGAAATTGCACCTGCAGCTCAAGACTCTTCAAGATGCGGAAGAGGAGTCCCGTCACCGAGGAGACCTGGTGACATCATTACAGGAGGAGCTGGAATTGGTCCGTCAGGAGCTGGAGAAGAACAAAGAGGTTTTATTTATTTGTTTTCTTAAAATTAATATATTTTTTATTATTTACTTAGAATAGTGTGTGATTTTAATATCATCATTTAGTGGCCAAAAAAAACTGTCACCTCAAATTTTTTGAACATATATAAATTGTATTTTAATTTTTTTTCATGAAATTAATAATTTTATTCAGCAAGGACACATTAAATTGATCAAAAGTGACAGTAAAGACATTTAAAATGTTATAAAAGATTTATCTTTCAAATAAATGCTGTTCTTTTGAACTTTCTCTTCATCAAAGAATCCTACTAAAAATGTATCACGGTTTCCACAAAAATATTAAGCAGCACAAAATTCAGCTTTGTCATTTCAGGAATATATTACATTTTAAAATATATTAAAATAGCAAACAGTTATAAAAAATCATATTTAACAATTTTAACAGTTTTTATTGTATCTTTGATCACATAAATGCAGCTTTGGTGACTGTAAGAGTGTGTATATATATATATTGTATACTTCTACAACACTAAGTTTGTTACCTATATTCTAATCCAATTTTGATGGTGTCTTCTAAACACTGCTGAGTTTGAACAATTATAGAACAAAAGCATATGTGTTGTAGATGAGTAAAACACTGTGATTAATCACCTAACCGCTGTCTGCAGATGGTTTCTGAACTGAATGAGAAGAACACACTGCTGAAGAGTGAGAAAGATGAGATGAACAGACTGATCCAGGAACAGGAGCAGCAGATAAAAGGTGGATTCACGCTGTTTTGGCTTGGCTCAGGAAAGCTCCAACCTTTTAACTAGTAATACTATTGTGGTTGGTGAGGGCTTGGGCAAGAGTATCTGTATTCCTTGTGGAGGAAGTTACTCTTTAGCAGTCCTATTCATCTCACTGGTAGTTACTTGACCTGTGGATCTGTTTATCTGCCAAGCTTTTTTATATAGTGGTTAACAATGTACGAAACTGGATTTACATACCAAGAAGGTAATGTAGCAGTTGTCATCTGCATTGTCTTAAACAGAGAAGTCAGAGTCGACCCATGATGAGGCCACAGAGCACCTGCAAGCACAGCTGAATGAGGAACGCTTCCATCACCAAAACCTTCTGACCGAGCACCTGAAGCTGGAGGAGCGCTACGCTGATCTGAGATCAGAAAAAGAGGCGGCTGAAGTAAGAAAATGATTTTTCCTACAACTTTCCTAATACAGTGCTATTTTTCACATTTTTAATATTGTAACATATTTTGTGTTTCTAAAAAGGAGCTCTCGAAACCTGGTCATAACAGAGCCGACTCTGGCTACAGCAGCAACCAATCAGAGATCGTCCACAGCTCTGTGCTCACAGGGTCAGAGGTCAGCTCGCTGGAAAGAGAGGTCCGTTTCCAAAGGCAGTTTGACTTCTAAGTTTCTCCTAGATTATCTGTCATGAAAGAATTTGATGGTTGTGTTTGGTGCATCTAGGATGCTGGGCAGACGGCAGCTGATGTGTCCCTGCTGCTGAAGCTGCAGAGGAGAGTCGCTGAGCTGGAGAAGCAGAAGATGGACCTGCAGGGTGAGATGGACACCAAAGAAGAGCAACTACAACTGGAACAAACTAAAGTAAGAACCAAAAACAGCTCAGTTTAAGTCAACCAAAAATGAAGTTCTGTCGTCATGTACTGAAAGTCACGCATGATCTTTCTTTGTGTTTTCAGGAACTGGAAGATTGTCGGAGAGTGTTAGGGGCTGAGAGAGACTACGAGGCTCTGAAGGTACCAAAAACACGCCTTTACACACTGAAAAACTCTTGTGTTTGTCTTTTACGCATTCAGAGAAGTATATAGGTGTGTGTGTGTTGTGATGTGCTCACAGCGTCAGGAGCTGGAGTCTGACAATAAGAAGCTGAAGAAAGATCTGCAGGAGCTCCGTCAGTCCCTCAGTAAGGGGTCGGGGTCAAAGGTGGCGTCCCCTGGAGGTCAGGCATATAACGTGATCCTAGAACAGCTCGACTCCACCACTGAGGAGCTTGAAATGCGAAAGGAGGAAGTGCTCATTTTGCGCTCTCAACTGGTCAACCACGAGGCATTTAAACATAAGGTAGTGTGCAAACTTTTTTCAGCCATTTGACAATCAATATGTAAAAATCTTATGATTTATGTCACATTTTTTATTAATATGTATATACATTTCTTTTTCAGGAAACAGGAACTGAAGGGGATTCAGGTGACTCGAGCAGGTTTGTTATCTTTCATATTCCATAAATTTGTATTTGCTATCATTATATCCATGATCAGTCTGTATCATGCATTCTTCCTTATAATGGAAATCATAACTCTTTCTCTCTCAGATCCCCCACACTGGACCTTCATGAGCTCAATGAGGATGGAGAACTCTGGATGGCTTATGAGAGCCTGAAGGAAACCAACAGGTGAAATAAAATAGATTTAATGTACAAAGACACTCTTTCTCACATACACTAATTTGCACACACCATTTGCACAAACATCATTTTTTTTAGTGGAAACATCTTTTTATATTGGTAAACAAAGGGGCTAAATGCCCCCTTCAAGGAAAATAGTATGAACTGCTGAATTTTTTTGTTTGGTTTCTGAGTATTGATAAAAACATAATTTGTGTAGAAGGAAATTGTAAAAAACAAAAAATGTTTTAAAAAATGATTAAGAAAATCATATCATGTCATATGCACTAAAAGGCTTTATTAAAAAACAATAGAAAAACAATCAAATAAATGTTAGCTAAAATAATGTAAAATATATCAAAACTTATTTTATGTTCGCTAGTTGCCGACATTTCTCATTTTCTTTTAGTTTAAGTTAAAAACAAAATAAAATAAAATAAAACTTAATGAAAGCTATATAGACTAATAAATATGACAAAAACACGGCAAAATTATTAAAAATGTAACCAAAATAAAAATTAAAAATATAAAAATAAAATTTAATTCAAAATATTAATGAAAACTAATAGTATATCAGTGATACTAAAATAACACTGGCTTAGTGTATATCTTGGATGATATTTTAATAGCTCTCTCTCTGTGCAGGATTCTAGAGTCGCAGTTGCAAACTCAGGGACAGTCCCATGAAAAGGAGGTGGAGGGATTGAGGGCGGAGCTTCAGCAGTTGAGGGCGGAGCTTGGTCATCAGCAGCAGATGCTGTCAGACAGCTTGGAGCTTCCACATGATGCTCGAATACAAGCAAGCCTGCAGCACGAGATCAGTCGCCTCACGCAACAAAATATGGTAAATATGCATTTTAATATATCATAGTAAATATTCTTCTGTATTAAAATGATTTGTGTAAATTCTAGGACCTCTTGGAGCAGATGGGGAAACAGGACAAAATGGTCCGCAAACTAAAGAAACACCTGAAAATATACATGAAAAAGTTCGGGGAGGCTGAGGGTAACGATTTCTCATTTTGAATACAAAACGTTAATATTATCTGTCAAGTTAGGAGTCGGACACTGAATTCAAGTTTATTTTTTTCTTAAAAACTTTCAAGATGTGATGCTTATGCTTTAATGCTTTTAATTTGTTTCGTAAGATGAATTGTCACATTAATTTTTGTAGGAGTGGCATCCCGAGATTATTTTTATTTGGAAAGTATTAATAATATTTTGGTGGTGGCAGCAGGTGTTCATATCGAGCAGTCCCCTCCAGAGAACATGGTTGGCGAGAGCGGTCGCACGGTCAGCATCGTTCGCAAAGAGAGGGATTTCCAAGGCATGCTGGAGTACAGGAGAGAAGACGAGAGCAAACTGTTCAAGATACTCATCACAGGTGATCTGAACAGCATTAATATAATGTCAGCAGAGAGACTAAAACAATACAGATGTATATAATTACTTTATTTTGCTTTATCAAATCAAAGTTAAAAGGAAAGTCTTTTTTTGCCGAAGGCTATAACTTGTATTCCATTGAAAAGAGTGGTTTTCAGTCATTTTGAACATTCATCCACAGAGCTCAAACCCCGAGGTGTGGCGGTGAATCTGGTCCCAGGTCTGCCTGCTTACATTCTCTTCATGTGTCTGCGGCACGCCGACTACGCCAACGATGACCAGCGGGTCTCCACCCTGCTGAACTCCTCCATCAACACCATCAAGAACGTGCTGAAGGTGAGAGACCCTCTCAGTCTGGAAATGTTGGAATACGAATCCACTGAGATGATAGTGAACCATTTAATATGAAAAATGTGGTCCAGATTATTTCAATTAAACAAACATGCTGCGAACTTTCTGTAAGTAATATAATAACTTATTATCTTTGCAGAAACGTGGAGATTTTGAAACCATTTCCTTCTGGTTGGCAAACACCTGTCGCTTCTTACATTGCCTGAGGCAGTACAGTGGAGAGGAGGTAGGTTGTGTTGCGTTGTGTTTCAAACCCAAGTGTGCTGCCTACCTAGACAGCATTTTAGGCATCAGTATTACACTCCTAACATGAAGATTTTTCTAAAAAAAAATTTGCAAAAAAATGGCAGCAGCATTTATTAAAGATCTCGTCCTGACCAAATAAGTCCTTCACAAGAAATGCAATCCCAGAATGCACTGCAACAAATCAGTGTTTGTGTGAGTTACCTGTAAATTTCAGTTTAGTTATTTGAGGTTCCTTAGATGCTACATTAGAGGATTCTGAAAAAAAAAATCTCTATATATAATATATATATATATATATATATATATATATATATATATATATAAAAAAAGTTTGGGACAGTGCCTCTGCATGTCTGTACACATGGATATGTATGCTTTTATTGTTATATTTTTAATTATTTACTGCTGTATGAATGCTGACCTAATGTTATTTCTTTCTGACTTCTTTTAGGCCTACACAAAGCACAACACGCCTCGGCAGAACGAACACTGTCTGACAAACTTTGACCTGTCGGAGTACCGGCAGGTTCTGAGTGATCTGGCTATTCAGATCTACCAGCAGCTCATCAGGGTCATAGAAAACATTTTACACCCCAAGATTGGTAATGCTGCATGCTCTGGTTATAAATATTTGAATATTTCATATACACTCTCTGCTAGATCATTCCCTCTTCTCCTCATTCTAGCACCAGCCATGCTGGAGCAGGAGACCATTCAGGGTGTGATGGGCGTGAAGCCCACAGGAATGAGGAAGCGCACGTCCAGTGTCTATGAGGAGCGCTCTCACTCGCTGGAGTCCATTCTGAAGCAGCTGGATGTGTTTTATTACACACTGCTTCAGCACGGCAACGACACCGAGCTGGTCCGTCAGGTCATCAAACAGCTGTTCTACACCATCTGCTCTGTCACGCTCAACAACTTGCTGCTCCGCAAGGACATGTGCTCCTGGAGTAAAGGCCTGCAGATCAGGTACTGTCCACTAGACGTGAGGGTAGTCTGAGTTGAAAAAAATGTTAATCATAATTTTGAAAAGAAACAAACAATTCATACCATTTGTATTATATATAAGTATAGCCTATGTGTGTGTACAATTAAAAATGTTGTGTCTTATAGAACTTTTTCTAAAACCTGTAAAATAACCTTTTTTTTTATTTATATTATATATAACATTTTATCACATAGAATGATTAGGATTTAACAGACCAATCATGCTGGCGTAATGGAAAGGCATCGTTTTTTTGCATTAAAAAAAATTAAAATTAAGAAATGGAATTCATTTTAGGAGATTTTCTTTCAATTTTGCATGGTTTTGTTTCACTCAAGTTATGCTGATATAATTTAGTATTATAATTACATAAAAAAATGCATGAAATAAAATTATACACCAGTGAAATGCTAATTTGTCATTTTTAATACAAAATTATGTATTTTTATTTTATATATATATATATATATATATATATATATACGTATATAATAGCTAATTTGTCATTTTTAATACAAAATTATGTATTTTTATTTTATATATATATATATATATATATATATATATATATACGTATATAATAGCATTTCACTGGAGTATTATATAGGCCTATTATTATTATTATATTTTTGCACATATAATGTTTACATTTTAATACAAATTATATTACATTAAAATTATTTATAATTCTATAGTTTCTATAAAAAAAAATTTAAATACCAATTTATAGAATTCTGTGTATAAGTTTTTTTTATTTTATTTATTGATGTATTGTTTTCTTCTTATAAGGTATAATGTATGTCAGCTGGAGGAGTGGTTGCTGGATAAAGATGTTCAGGGCAGTGGAGCGCGTGAGTCTCTGGAGCCTCTGATTCAGGCGGCTCAGCTTCTGCAGATCAAAAAGAAGAGCCAGGACGACGCAGAGGCCATCTGCATCATGTGTACGGCTCTCACCACTGAACAGGTGTGTGTGTGTGTGTGTGTGAGTGAGAGAGAGCTGAACCCTTCAGTTTAATTCTGATGGTCTGTGTTTCTTTCTGGGACAGATTGTGAAAATCCTCAGCTTGTACACACCAGTGAATGAGTTTGAGGAGAGAGTGTCTATATTATTCATAAAGTCTGTACAGGTGAGTCATTTCTCAAGGTTTTTAAATGTATTTTAAAGCCGCTATTGTTGGATTTACATGGTAAAACACTTCTCCATTCTCTCTAGACTTTATTAAAGGATCGTAAGGAGTCTTCTCAGTTACTGATGGATGCTAAGATCATTTTCCCAGTCACCTTCCCCTTCAACCTTTCACCTGTGGCCCTTGAGACCATCCAGATCCCCAGCAGCCTCAACCTGAACTTCCTGACACGAGTTTAAAAACACACCAGTGATGTCGTCATGGAAACCACAGAACAGAATAGAGGCTTGGATTATATTTGTGGTCACATCTTCTGGGATGTTTGCGTTTACATTTCCTGTATCACTGTAAAAGATTTAACTTATGAGAGTCACCTTAAACACATTTCACTGTATTTGCTGGTGTTTGGG